ATATGTTATCAATACGAAATGAAGTGCTTAGTTTTGAAACCACAGAAAATCATTGTTAACGTTAATTTTAAAATGGCTGCTTGCTGTTATATTAACAATTGAAGTGTTCTGATTAACGATTTAACATTATCTGTAAACGGCTTAACATTGCCTGTTAACGGCTTAACATTGCCTGTTAACGATTTAACATTGCCTGTTAACGATTTAACATTAGCCACAGCATTTCTTTTCGGGTATAAATAAAATAAAATTTATTTTGTTAACTGCTTTAAAGATAACATTTCTAAGAGTTTTAGGCGAATCGATTGAAATTTTTTTTATTAATGTCAAATTTATCGTTACGACGCAACCCTGACCAAACCTAAACAAATTCAAGTTGAGTCAGTGTCTTGGAATTTAGTGATTTTTTTTACAACCCATAAAGGCGTTTGTTTATCATTGTAAATAGTTGCCTCCCTTCCTCTTACATTTTCGGTATATACATATATATTATATACGTGTAATGCCAAAAACCAGTTACTTGGACTGCTTGAAAAACTTTTAATAGTCAAATTATTTTTATTATTACATCGAATAAATTTCGCATAACATTTCATATATGTATATGTGTATATTTTGATTGACGTATTTTTTGAATCCGTATGACGAGTCTGCCCACGCAGCTTATTCTCCTTAAATTGGGTATAACGTATTATAGTTCAGGAGAGAAGAAGTAATGATACTTCGGGTTCGTAGGGTGGGAACTGCTTAAGCTTTTACTTGTGACCCGCCTGCTTTATGCAGTTGTTCAACAAATTTGTTTGAATTTCTTCTGACCTATAAACTTATGAAAGAAATATCAAAATAAAAGTGAGTTATTGCAAAATCTAAAGGAGGAGTCTTCCGATATAGAATCAGATGTAACACAATTGGAACTATCATGAGTGAGACATCTGTGTGTTGAAGGTGGCGATGCAGAGGTGATTAATATCCATGGAAATGAAACTGTCATCAATGTGTCCAGGTGAAAGTTAAGGGTGTTAAATAGCTTCAAATTTGATAAAGAAACTGAAAACAATTTTCAGGAGACCGAAACAGCTGCCGGAGGTACTATTTGGATAAATTTTGCTGAGCCTGGTATTAGCGTGCGAAAAGGCCAATAAGTCACTGTAAAAGCAACTTTATGGCAGATAATATAAATGATTGTATAAAAAATATTAAAACTTAACTTTAAACAAATTTCTTTAATTATTAGACATGCGTTCACAATGCAATGGGCCATATAGGTATTGACTAAGTCTCCATCTTCCTAGTATATATTAAAATTATTTTTTTATTTTCTGGTATAAAAATGAAAAAGGTTTTTAAACGGAATGGAGCTTAATTATATCTGGAAAAGATTTCTGGGTACGGAACAAATTGGCACTGTTAGGATGTGCTCTCAGAATTTGTAGACTCTCGTGTTCTGTAAGCTTTGTTGGAACGAGCTTTATTCGATTACAGAAATATGCCTAACCATGATACAATAATTCTAAAAGGTAGTTTCCAAGGCAAACTTACACACGGTAGTGCCAAGCATACAAAAACGAAAATACTATGTATTTATGTATTTGTTGGTGTAAGAAAAAGTTAAAAATGTCAAAAACGATGCGAATTTATAAAGGTGAGATAAGGAGAACAAGTACAACAATTACCTTATATTTTGCTTTATTTTCAGTGTAACAATTGTCAAAATCTTGTCAGTTTCATACAAATCGCTTTTGTCAAATTGTATCAAAATTTTAAAACAAAAGCCTTAAAAGAAGGAAAAAAAATCAAAAATTGATGTGGTTAGCTCAAAAGTCAGAGTTTGCTTATTTAAATGGCATTAAAAATACAGTAGTTTTCTTTTATGGAGTGTCTTCTTATTAGCTTCTTCTTTAGAAGGGCATTGGTTCTTGTAACGCTGTTGTATTTTATATACCTACATTTGTAATTGATTATGATTATTATTTAGAGTTAGTACTGGAATAATATATTATATTTAACCGTAAAATAAACGTAATTTCCTTTTTATAAAGTTGTATATATATACCTAGGGCCTCATTGAATTTCTTTGGCCCACACGAATACAGAAAAATGTAGATCTTTCATCGTGTAGAGCTTGGAAAACTTGTAGAACTCTCCGTTCTACATATATACATACAAGGCACAACGGACTGCTTAGACAATCTCTTGAAACAGGAATCCCAAACAGGAACGAATGGGAAAAAACTAACGCCCTCGATCGAGAAGTTATACCCACACGGCTCAAGGCTAGTTAAAAAAAGAACCTTTCTATCCACAACAAACCATGCACAGGATGAAGGTTTACCTTTGCCAAAAGTGCAAACATTAGATGCTTGAATGAGATCACGTGCAACGTGACCAGACAGCTATGGCCATAATTGAACGCGAAAAAATCTAAGCATATAATCTTTCTAGACTGGTTTTGCAGTAGGACAACAAAGGATGCAATAACAGAAAACCATTCTATGGGACCTCAGCAGAAAACAGGCTAATCATCCAATGATTGTGGCTGCATAAAAAGACTCCATTAAACACTACTACTTCTTGAGCTAGTCGTTAAGCAAGCTTCAGTAAGAATTGGTAATCTCGTTGCCTTCAATACATACGCTAACTGGCCCTAACGTTTGAGAATGTGAAGATGAGAACCTCATAGCGGTATCACAACGGCCTATCGACCTAAGTGCGTTGATTACTAGTCGTATCAACTCAGCTCAGCAAGGGTCCGTACTTTTTATTTGAAAAAAAAGCCAAAAAATCTAATTTGAAAATTTTAAAAACAACTTTACAATTAGAAATCTAAATTAAATGTGAACAATTAAAAAGCTAAATGTAAACAAAAATGCAAAACATAAACAAACATTTTGATTAATTAAAGAAAAAAGTTGAATTCGCAGCTCTAGTAAATCCACCTCGATATATTCGTCTTGGTCGAAACCTATTTCTCATGTTTTGTTTGTGTAATTTGTTGAAATGGAAGGAAGAACAAGCATTCATATTATGTGACAACTTCACCCTCTATGAATTCATTCACTTCGAAAATTTTGAAATTTTTATAAAATATTCTAAGCAAATGGAAGTTTAAAAATATTTTTAGAGTATTTATTTCAAGCTGTCTTTCTTGGGCGGCAGAAAGAAGAGAAAAAATTTCTAGATGCCTTTTATTATAAATAAATTGGCATCTTTAATTTTTTTGTTTTTTTGAAACTTGAATTCTTAAACATTTTTCGGCTTTATACGAAACGTCTGAGGCTTGGATTCCTGGTTTAAAGGACATACCAGAGAACTGTATGGCCTCAGTAAACTTTTCACATGACGTGGGTATACCTCTTTTTTCGCCAAAGTATCATTTAAGGTTAACTTTCACTAGAACAGCGAACACCAGATTCGCGTGTGGCACCACGCACAGAGTGTCAGAACTAATTTTTTACTTCATCTAAAGAGTACTTCCATAAGCATTAAAACCCGGAATATAATTGAGTACTCCTTTATTGGGAATCATAATAGAAGGATGGACTATTTCTCAAACAACATAGATGAAGAGGAATCGGTACAACACTACCCGTTATCGTTTTCTCAAAAACTTTTTCTTTGTTTGCGTGTCATATCCTTGCATCTTGGACCCGAAATACATTTGCCTGCAGCACAAAATTCAACTAAAAGAAAACTCAACAGACTACTTGGTATCCTATGGACTGAAAGATTCGAGCCAGATCGAACATAAAATAAGAGAGAGATGAGAATCTAAGGTCAACTCGGACCACTATATCGTTGATGCCGGAGATGTTTGTTCTTGAGATCGAAAAGTTGTAATCATAAATGGCGGTTATACTAGTTTCTACCCGACTTGCACTACTGCTTTCTGAGAGCACTCATCATCAACTTAATTTGCAATAAAGATCGCCTATGGCGACATTGCGGTGGTCCACAATCCGTAAGGAGTGGGATAGTTACTAAGCACTGAGAAAGGAGGCGACATCCATTTACATATGAAAAAGAATACGCCGAAATGCTTGAGCTTGAGTAGTTGACTGACAGTAAGGCTCGAAAATTTCGGCGACTAACTAAAGGTTTCAATGCCGAAATGTAATAATAAGGGTTGGAATTTGGTGACCGATGTTCAGAGCATGCTTGTTGTATGAAAGGAACGCTTCTCGAGTCTGCTTAATGGCAACTCAAAACCTCAATCTATGACGTTGGAAAAGGTGTTCCATTATTCGATTATAACGACCTTCAAATAGCGATTGCCTGTTTACGGAACGACAAGGTGGCTTTGAGCGGTAGTGTAATTGCAGAGCTTTTTAAACATGGCGTTCTAGAGCGGTTAAGGTAAGAGGGGGTTAACAAAAGTTTGGTCAGTTGACGACTGCCAATTTGTTGTTGTTAAATCTAAAATTACCAAATGCTTCGCAATTACTTTATTACTCTTCCGTTCAAATTCTAGAACGATCGGCTAAAATGGAGATGAAACGCAAGGTAGCTGTGAATAGGTCAGAGGAAATAATACTCGGGGCAATTTCAAGAACGTCACTTCTTCAGTGGTTTTCAAGCAATCTTCAGTAGCTTGAAAAAGGTACGCCTTTTCGCCAAAATGTCTGAATTTGGGAGAACCAAAAAACTTGTACGGATTTATAAATTAAAGTTAAGCAACAGCAAAAGAAAGAAAGGAGGCGGTTGAGAGTCCTTCTTACTCAAGACTATGAATAAGGCCCAATATTATGGGAAATTTTTAATTCTCAAATCAACTACAATCTTGAGTTGGGTTAAACATATGTTTGACATTCTTAAATTAATGGACAAAATTGTTTTACATTTTTTTGTTTCCACGTTTGCATGTAGTTTACAGTCAAAGGGACAGAAAATTTATTACAGAAAAACAACAATTCGAAATTCGTACTTTTCAAATCAGTTTGAAAAACTCAATTTCAAACGCTCACAACTCTACGGTGCAACTAATAAAATTAGCCTGTTTTAAAATGTCAATGACGTCGGTGGGTAGTCATGATTCCAACGACAACGATTCACTGGAATCGGACACCGAATTTGTTGACTGGCGCAGTGGGAGTACAGCGATAGGAGAGGAGAGAGGAGATGTTGCTCTCAGCACAACTTCTAGTACTCGTTTCAGCACAGTGACGGAGCGCAGAAATAGATTCGTGGCCTTTGAAGACGAACATGAACAGCGTTTGTATGCCGGCGCCATAGATAATCTCGATGAGAAATCGTCTGTTTCATCGGCAGCGGAGGAAGATGAAACCGTTGAATCACAAACAGCCTTACAGAAGAAGAAGAGTAAATATATGAGAATTGCTAAAATTACTGTGCTCTTCATACTTTGGCTGATATTCACTGGTGTGCTCCTAGTACAACCGGAACACGAACATTCCGAAGCGAATTTCATTTGTATCACAAATGGCACAGAGAAAATATTTCATGTGCCGGAAGAGTCAAAATCGAATGGCTTCTTCATCACCGCCACAGGCCCATTTATAATGCTCTCCAAAGATCAACTCACCAATTTTGGGAACGAAGAATATACACTCACCATAAAATTAATGCAAATAACGGGTGCGGATGATGAGAAGCACGATGTCAGTAAGCCGTGGGTGCTGTATTTGTCCGACCCCATGGATCTGGATAAGGAGATATTAGTTGAACGTAAGAAACTTTTCGCTTTACGGCATATGTCCGAGGAGGGCAGCAAAAAGTTGTTGATCAGCATGGTGACCAATATACCTGAACCGCTATCTTTGGAGTTCTACTACGAGCCAGCGCCAATCAACTTAGAGATCGGTGTTATTATAGCGATAATACTAGTAGTCGGCTTATACATACTGCTTACTCTTGACATCGTACATCGTGCGCTCGCTATAATCATCTTCTGTACGCTTACCATCAGCATGCTGGCGCTACTGAACATGCGGCCTTCGTTGCGCACCATCATCGATTGGATTGATTTTGAGATACTCTTAGAGCTCTTCGGTCTGACACTCATCATAGCCATATTAGCGGAAACTGGTATTATCGATTATATTACCGTGCGCATTTATGAGATCTCCAATGGACACATTTGGCCCATATTGAACACCTTAAGTCTGGTCATCTTCGTTGGTTCATGTTTTCTCGATAGTATACTCATGGTACTGCTGATTGCGCCGATTGCAATGCGTATATGTGAATTGATGCAACTAAATCCGTTACCTTTGCTGTCCTGTTTGATCATATTTGCGAATGTCGGCTCGGTATTGACACCAAAAGGACAGACGCCGAGTGAGTTTGTCACGCAAAATGAGGTTTTACGACGCGAGGGCATCAATAGTTTGGTTTTCATAGCGCACATGTTGCCGGGCACTTTAATAGCTGGCGCAAGCGCTTATCTCTATATGCGCATACTCTATCACGATTCGAATACGATGCGATATAAGGATGGCGCCGAGATTGAACGCTTGCGTCGCGTCATTAAAGTTTGGTCACGCACCGCCAAGAGTATTAGTCCATATTCGAAAGACGAGCAAGCCATGCGCGATACGGTGTTGTCGAAGGTGCGACGTCTGCGCAGACGTTTGAAGCGCATTGGTAAGATGCCAGCGCCGCCACCAGACTACAAAGAAACGGTGAAGCAACTCAAAACTCAATTCCAGATAACCGATCAGGCGCTATTAATCAAATCTCTCTTCGTCTTGTTCTTCCTAATTGTACTCATCGTGCTGCACCTCGTGCCGAACATACATTTCCTCTCCACAGCCTGGACTGCGCTCCTCGCCTGCATACTACTGCTGATATTGGCAGACAATGATGACTTCGACGGCATACTCGGTCGCATTGAGTGGTCGACAATGCTATTTCTCGCCTGTGTTATTGTGTTCTCCGAGGCCACTGCACAGCTAGGACTCTTCGATGTGATCAGCAACATGACCGGCGATCTAATACGTTATAGCAGTACAAGCGCGCGCATGTTTGTGGCCATACTGATCGTACTGTGGTGGTCGGCATTTTTGGCAGCGTTCCTCACCGATTCCTCGGTGTGCTCTCTAATGTTGCGTGCGGTAATTGTTGCTGTAGAGGATATTGAGGAAGGCCAATTGCCAGTGCAACCGCTCGTGTGGTCCGTGTTGCTCGGCACCGGGCTGGGCAGTATTGGTACTCTAATCGGCACTTATGCGAATATCATTTGCGCTGGTTTGGCGGAGAAGCATGGTTATAATTTCCCCTTCCTCTATTATTGCAAAGTTGGATTTCCCATAATGTTGGTGTGTGTTGCAAGTGTAACGGTTTATTTAATGGTAGCTCATGTGGTGTGCCATTGGCATTAATCGAAGGATTATTTTTAAGCGAAATTATTTTTCTTGACGAGGTTTCTTTAATTCAATATATTATTGTTGTTGTTTATGGAATACTCGATTTTATGTAGTTATGAATGTTGCTCATATGTAATTGGCAAGTGATTAATAAACCAGAAGGAAAATAAACTGATAACGAATTATCATTATGAGGAACCAAAAGCGAAGAAATTGCCCAGGCAAGCGATTTGTAAGAAGAGACTCCACCCCCAATAAATTGAAAAAAATGCCTTAGGGATTGCGTAGTCCAAAGCTGATGCAATACTGTTGAAAGAAAAAGCTGGACAGTCACCATTTAAACACCCTTTCCCTTGTTACAAACCGAAACCCCACCTGGTGGTATACCCAAGCAAAGTTATGTGGCAGAAATACTCCGCTAAGCGTAATTAATTGTTTGCGATGAGAGCACTAAGACTCGTAGATGAGTTTTCGAAGACCTAAATAGATCTTTCAAAGACATTAAGAAGTCAATGTAGAGTTCATTAACAAACTTACTATGCTCTAAGCTAGCGATTTCCGGCAGACTTTATCCATAGTGCACAGAACAGATGCAGTAAAAGCATGCCTAGAGTGGTCTTATTTGCAAGGCTTAGTGAGAAAACTCGGTCTCACCAAAAATATGATAACCATTCTGCGAGAAGGTGTTGCTGTAAGACCCTTCTCAGATCTGTTGCTTTAAATAGGAATTTTCCAAAACAGAATAACAATATAATTCCTTCTACAGAGTTAATTACAACACTTTTTATATAAGAATGACCCTTGGTGATAAATGAAATACTCGTTCTCTTATGTCAATATAAGTCAATCGACTCAGTGCTAAAGACCAGGAATATCAGCGGTCGACTTCTTAAATACACTGAAAGCTCATACATTGAAGTGAAGAGTTGGTTAATTACGTCTCTGCGCTATATTAACCCACCAAAATTTTGCAAGGGACCACATAAAAGGTGAAAACATTGCATCACAATATAATCGACGCAACTATTCTTACAGAATCTTCTCAAGTAGAATCTGTTGTTATTCTTAGGATATAACCAAGACTTTGAAGCGATTTTCGGTCAATTTCCCCCTCTAATTTGTGTTCATGTCTTGCCAACAAATGGACAGAGTTTTTATTTCATGTCGGAAATACACTCGTAGGGCTCAACGTTCCCAGCCGAGGAGCGAACGCTATTGGAAAAGTTTCTATAATTTTGCGGTCAATCTCTGCTCGTCCAAATATTAGTACGCAGCGCTCAAGGTCGTACAGGAGTTGCAAAATAAAAAGTCGCACTATTTTCTCCTCATATTTTTTATTTAAAAATGGTACATTTTTTTAAGAGCAGATGGTAGCACGTAAAAGACTAAACACGTTTAGTGTCAGTCGCGGTCCTGAGGGCGGTGTTCTGGCAAGCCTGTAGCTGCTTTATCTGCGTCTCGTTCGCCCCCGGTGCCTAGATCGTTGCAGCATAGCTTACGACCGACCAGCCAATTGCTGTGTAAGATGCAAGCAAAGTTTCTTTGTCTTTACTTCAGGTGCTGTCGGCAAACGCTTTGAGTATTCTGTTGCGGCTCTGGAGTTGCGGCAATTGCGGTCGTATGCGGAGTGAAGGAGTGCACGTTATCTAGAGTTACTCGAGATATCTTTGGGTTGTTAATAGTTGAAATTTTCAAGTCAGCAACCTTCACATCTGGTTCAAGCCTGTATTCCTTGGTCCAGCTGGTGAAGAGGGTAGCCGAGGTTTTAGTTGGCTGTATTTTTAGCTGTCGTGCGGTGAAGAAGCGAAAAAGGTCGGCAAGGTAGCAGCTCACTTTCGAACAGAGGTCATCAATTTCCTGGCCAAACGACATTACCATGCAATCCTCGGCATACGAGGTTAGGGACATTCCTTCTGGTAGATGAGGGAGTTTCAATATGTAGAAATTAAACAGTTGTCGATTGAGGACGTCAACCTGCGAAACCCCATATTTAATTTTTCTGCGCTTTGATGTTTCACATTGGAATATTAGCGATGATTGTCGACTCCTCAGGTAGCCCATGAGCAACCCCTGCAACCCCGGCAGTAATGAGGATTCCTCTATGTCCGTTAGTAGCACTGAATGGTTGACTTTGTCAAAAGCTTTTTACAGGTCCAGTACTACCAGGACAGTTCACTCGCAGGGTTGGTTCTGGTTAAGGTCATTGACTATCTGAGTGTTTATGGCCTTTAGTGCTGTTGTGGTACTATGCACTTTACGGAAGCCATGCTGATGTGCTGCTGGACGCAGATGGTGAGTGAAAGTCGGGCGCCTGAAGTGCCTTCATTACCAGGGAGAGGAGAATTATCGGCCGATAAGGCTCTCTTTGGTTGGCTGCTTTCCCTGGCTTGAGCCGCAGGACCGCTCTGCCAGTTTTCCACACTTGAGGGAACGATAGGGTGGTCAAAACCAACTTGAAGACCTTGGTGAGATAGTCTGCCTTCGCTGGTCCAAGATGTTTTTGCATCAGCATGCTTATTCCGTCGGGACCGATGGATTTGGAGGCTTTTGCCTTTCCGGGAGAAATCGAGCACCGCGCTGGTATTTGGCAGTTTGCACATTTGGCGGGTTACACGTCGCTTCGTTTTGTTTACCAAAGGATGCAGTGTAAAAAGTCAGCTAAAATAGCTCGCGCATATCTTTGGGTGCGATAAGGCGTGACCATGGAAAGAAGTTTTCCCTCGGTCATCGCGTCTCAACGGGTTAGACAACGACTTGATTGTAGCCCACTTGACTTCTGTGATAAATTTGGATTGTTTTACTGTAAAACCTGTTAGCAAGATAAGTACTCATATAAATTGTAGTACTTGATAAGCAACTTCTTATAAATTTTGTTCAAAAGACCTTAATGTCAAACTTTTTCGATCATAAATATCAAATAATATTGCACTGTAATACACCTTTAAGCATTCAACATTTATTTAATACTTTTTGAAAACCGAGTTGGTGAACTGATATAACTTTATTACGACAGAGAAATGGCGACATATTTGATAGCAGAATTCATTTGAATAAGTATGTAAGAAGACACCTGTGTGGGAAGCTCACCTTACTTTTGTATCAGTATTATCTGCGACGATTTGCAAACACTTGGAAAGTACCTTAGATTACGAATGATATTAAAGAGTTAAGAGTTCAGTGCAGTTCCAACTCAGAAAAATCCAACTGACCTGTCACCGAAAACCACTAACAGTCCGATCGGCCCTGAACTCGAAATCGATGGCGGTAGGTCGCGGTTACACTTGCCTCTTATACTAAAGAGCTACAGATTTGGTCATAAGCTGTTATAAAATTGCATCCGGAAAAGCTGAGGGAATTTATTTAAGCACTCAGTAAGTAGGTTTTGATACAGAAAGCTAATCAGAGGTATGAATGTTGGCGGAATGAGTATTAAAATCGTTACACAAAAATCTAAAGGTTCGTGAACTTCAAAGTTTGCTCTGCATGCGTGCAATGAAAAGGGTCTAAAGTGTCTAGATGATCTGAAAGGGCTGGTAAAGTTAGGCTCGCTAAGTAGGACTGAGCTATTGATAACACCTCTTATGAATTTAGTTAAGTATCTTTCTACCTCTATGGAAGTGAGATGTAAACGACTTTTGTAAGAAAGCAAGTTCTTGGTTCTTTCCTAGATGTTTCACAAAACAGCCTTTTCATCGTCCAGTTACTATTTGTGTGATTGATTAACGGATTCACATCGACCGGAGGTTTAAAATTTTTTTTTGGTACTTTCCACAGTGAATATTTTTTGGTAGAATTTGGCGTCAGGTTTTTTCTATATGTAATTGAATATCTTGTCATTATAGTCACCTGCTTGTTGAAGAACGCTTTTCAGTTTTTTTTTCAATTTTGAATTAAGCGCAACTTGGAGACGAGAGACCGACATGCTTGCCATTCTCTCTGCAAGCGACGCTTTTGTAGTACTAATTCTTATATTTCTGTAAATTTTAGAGTTTTTGGGCTCTCAATACCACTTTTGTAGTTGTTTAGGTAGCTCCAGCAGCGAGTATGTCATTAAACTCATTAATATGTTCATCAATATCATATTCAGGATATGATCACTAACATATGCACCCTGTTTTAAAGTTACTCGGATTGACGTATTATTATTGTGTGCTCTATTTTTAGCAACCGCCTACAGATTCTTATTTAGTCGACTATGCCGTTGCTGTAGTTGCGTTTCCGTATTCTTTCCAACATCTGCGGCTTTCTTAATTCACTTTGACTTAAAGCACGTATAAAACCCTCACCAATTCACACAGGCTCATACACACATACACATACACATACAACTCATTTAACGATGGTAAAAGTGAAAAGAAATTCCAACGGTAAATCTACGCTTAAACATTTGCGCAAATATTCACCACTGGCCTCCACTACCAGCACCGCTGAGCCACTGCACGCAAAGCATTATGATTGATGAAGGACCGACCCACCGACCCACCGACCAACGGATTTCAGCTGCAGATTTGTTTTTATCAGCGAAGATTTGCGCAAAAGTGAATGTAAAAATTATTTTCAAATATATATGTACCGCTGGATGTGCGTATGTATTATATGAATGCGAAAAAGTGTCGAAGTGAGTGACGCATAACGGTGCGCAAAATTTGCAAATTAAATTTATGCCTCAAAAATAGCAGCAATACTGCGCGGATGTAAGAAGAACCAGCGGCAGGTGTGGGGAAAATACGCGCCACCTCGTACTCATCTTACACCAGTCACAGCTGCAATCACTTCTGATTGTTGATATGCTGATGTGGATGACACGCCTGCATGCTCTGGCTTTGGCTGTGATGACGCTGCTGCTGCGGTTACCCATTCTTCACGCCGTGGGTGCACCTTCAGTGCTAGCAGTGCATGCAATTTGTCTCATTCCGCGCCCTGTTCGCTGATGATGACATTTCAATGTCGACAGGAAGGCAAAAGTTGGTGGAAGCCACCAATTGCTTGCCATCGTTGGTGGTGGCAGGTGCGGA